CCCCACCTGTTCTTCTTACCCCACCCCTTCTTTTTACCCCTCCCCTTCTTCTAACCCCACCCCTTCTTCTTACCACCCTCTTCTTCTTACCCCCCTCTTCTTCTAACCCCTCCCCTTCTTTCCCCTTCCCTGTAGCGTGGCCGAGCTCCTCTCCGGTCCGCGGTGCCCGGCCAGAGTGATAGGAAGGTGCACACTCAGTGTGCACTTCCTGTCAGTCCAGCCGGTTACAGGAAACAGAAACTCCTGTTCCGCGCGGATTTTCTGTTTCCTGTAACCGGCCGGAGTGACAGGAAGTGCACACTCAGTGTGCACCTTCCTATCACTCCAGCCAGGCACCGCGGACCGGAGAGGAGCTCAGCCATGCTACAGGGAAGGGAAGGGGAGCGGAGAAGATGTGCTGCAACCAACTGAGGATCTTAACAGAGCGCTCAGGCGGCTGCAACATTAGGACCGGCCCACTGCGGCCTGTTTTAAAATTATTTAGGGCGGCCTGGGGGACAATTGCCTCCCTGCCCAGCACGCCCCTGTGCGTACTCCATACAAAAACATGCTTACATTCAAAAACACAAACACTGCTTAGTGTTAAACACATTTTAAAAAGTTGCAGCGTTTTTTTAAATTGTAAAGTTGGGGGGGTGGGTGGTTGGGGGGTGCCAAAAGTAGGACCTGCCCCAGTTGCCAAATGCTCTTGGTACGCCCCTGACTACACACTCTACATACTGGACTTTAAAGACTGCACTGACTGCTCCATCTTCCTTTGCGGTAGTGCTGGGAGGAAGTACTTTATCCCAGCAATTGTTGAAGTCATGTGTGACGAGAGGAGCCTGCAACCCACAGACTTGTGTCAAATTGATCCCCACTGGACCACAGGAAATCCACCCTTTAGCTGCAAAATCGTAACTAAAAAGGTTGGCTAAATAAAGTATGAGTTTTAATGTGTGTGTGCATATATTGAGTATGAGTATCTGTAGAAATGTATGTGTAGGTAGCTGTATGTAGGTTAAGTAATGTCGGTGTGTATAAGTATTTGTTTGGAGCCGTGTCTGAAGAGTGTATGTGGGTGTGTGTTTGTAGAACTGTCTATATGTATGTTTAGTAGGGCGTATATTTAGTATTTGTGTGTGCTTGACTGTGTGACTTTAAATGTGTGTGTGTCTAAATTTGCGTATCTGTGTGTACAGTTGTGTATGTCTATGAATGTATATCTACACACACAAAAATACATTGTTAAATCTTACAAGACTACTTAAAATATCTCCTATCTTAGCAAATAAATATGGGGTTAGGTTACACCACATGGTCAAATTATGTTAGAGAGACGATATAAGCACCCAGACCATTTCATCTCATTGAAGTGGTCTGGGTGCAGTGTTCCTGTCCCCTTAACCCTGCAATGTAAAACAACGAACGAGTGCTTCAAGTAGTTTCCCCGAATTCAACTAAAAATGCAACTTATAATGACTTTTACAGTCTCAAAATTATTCAACCTGGGGGCGGGGCCTGACTGCCAAGCCGGAAAGTTGCATCCCGTGAGGGCTCCGGCACTTAAGCCTTTATTAATTGAAACCACCACTGATTACAAATCGATTGAGACCCTAGTTATCAATAAGGGGCTCCTGGATCGACTGTGGTGATACCTACGTGTGTTCTGATGGCTCCAGGTGTCTACGCTGCCAAAGTGCTGTGAGCTGACCTGGCGGCCCAGTGAATCTGGGTGAGAGGAGAAGCGGCCGATCTCAGCGCTAGACCCCTTCCCCTCCGCCCCCTCTTGACCGACGGGGGTGATCCCTATCTAGTCCCTAGTGCAGGGATAGGCAACCTTTGGCACTGCAGGCATTTTGGACTACACCTCCCATGATGCTTTGTCAACATTATCGCTGTAAAAGCATTGTGGGAGATGTAGTCCACAACATCTGGAGTCCCGAATGTTGCCTGTCCCTGCCCTAGAGGCTTCTTGACTCAACTGAGGCACAACTCTGAACAAGCAACAGGCATCCAAGCACACACAAAATGGCGGAGTCCACGTGGTCTCCCGATGCCGGAGGAGTCTCTCACAACATCCTACAACACCAACGGGCTTTTCGAGTCCTTCTGGGCATGGAACCCGAGGTGCCAACTGATCTGACTGGCGTTGAGAACCCACAGAGGGACACAGCGCAGACGGAGAGTGACCCCTTTCAAGCGTGGGCCCAAGTGACACATTGACAGATTCCCAAGGTACAGTTGCAAGAAAAAGTAAGTGAACCCTTTGGAATGATATGGATTTCTGCACAAATTGGTCATAAAATGTGATCTGATCATCATCTAAGTCACAACAATAGACAATCACAGTCTGCTTAAACTAATAACACACAAGAATGAAATGTTGCCATGTTTTTATTGAACACACCATGTAAACATTCACAGTGCAGGTGGAAAAAGTATGTGAACCCTTGGATTAAATAACTGGTTGAACCTCCTTTGGCAGCAATAACTTCAACCAAACGTTTCCTGTAGTTGCAGATCAGACATGTTTCAGTTCAGCAATATTCTTGGGATGTCTGGTGTGAATCACTTTCTTGAGGTCATGCCACAGCATCTCAATCAGAACTGGTGTGTGTTTTTTATAGGGCAGGGCAGCTGTAACCAACACCTCCAATCTCATCTCATTGATTGGACTCCAGTTGGCTGACATCTCACTCCAATTAGCTCTTGGAGATGTCATTAGTTTAGGGGTTCACTGTAAATGTTTACATGGTGTGTTCAATAAAAACATGGCAACATTTCATTCTTTGTGTGTTATTAGTTTAAGCAGACTGTGATTGTCTATTGTTGTGACTTAGGTGATGATCAGATCACATTTTATGACCAATTTGTGCAGAAATCCATATTATTCCAAAGGGTGCACATACTTTTTCTTGCAACTGTACATGGAGTGAGATTGCACCATACAACAAGACAGGACTTGGAAGCTCTGCTGACCATGAGGGGCTTGTCTGACTTCTACACTGCTTTTACACATCACTACTCAGGAGGCTCGTAAGCCTACTACCGGTGCACCTGTGGTGGGACTGTGTTCCACCACAGGGAGTCGGCTGATATCAGAGCTGGGCCCGGGAATACCCACCTAATCCTAGCATGGTGTCTTGATGGTACTTCTGTAGTTCACACTAACCCAGAAGTCACTTGTGCCTATATCCACACGTAGAGCATCCATTCATTTGCAACATGTTAGGGTGCCTCCTGGGAGTCTTATTAAGCTACCCGCAATCCTCTACTTTTATTTACAGTCTCCACTTTCCAGCCTACTCTCAGTGCATATGTCTAGGTGTTTTAATACATCCATAGTCTGCATACTCTGCACTGTTCCTTTAGTCTTTCGCTTTAAAAAAAAAAGTGCTTGCTCGTCTGTACACTTACATACATACCTTCTATAAAAAAATGTGCAGTTCCTCTTGACATTTTGTGCTCTATCCCTGAGCCTGTATTCAATCGTTTTGCAACGCAACATATGTCACTGTTATACTGTGTATTTTTCACTGCACCACATAAAATTTGTAAAAAAAAAAATATACAAATATTTAACTTCCATCACAACAGCACAAATATGCAAAACACATGGTGCCTCAAACACACTGGATGCAACTAATCAAGGGCTTCATAAGCTGCACCAGGTGAACTTGAGCTGGAAAACTTGAAATACCTGAACTGGCTAGGGGTTTGTTGAGTCACATCTGACTGCATGTTGTAAAGATAGCAAAGTCAAAAGAATGGTTCACAAAGTTAAGAGAAGAGATCATCGCCCTTCACAAACTAAGGAACAGGATACAAAACTATAGGGAAGGCACATAATGTTATGAGAGACACCGTTGATAGCATAGTTTACAAGTTCAAAGTTGAAGAAACAGTGGTTACACTACCTGGACGCGGCAGATATCAATCGCTACAACCAGATTTCTGAGAAGGCAGGTTGTGAGAAAACATTAAGTGACTACAAAAGACCTGCAGCAAGACTTGGTGGGAACAGGCACTAAATATTCAGTGAGCACAGTAAGACGCATTTTGAATGCAGAAGGTTTCCATGCTAGAACTCAGACATACACCACTACTGACCCAATAGCATAAAAAAGTTCACTCCAATATGCACAAAATCATATAAATAAGCCACAGAAGTTTTGGTTCAGTTCTGTGGAGCGATGAAACAAAACTGGAACTTTTGGCCAAATGGATCAGTGATATGTCTGAAGAAAGAAGAATGAAGTATGCACTGAAAAGAACACTTAGCCTACAGTTAACCATGGTGGTGGCTCGGTGATACTCTGGGGCTGCTTTGCATCCTCTGTCACTGGAAACCTGCAGCATGTGGAAGACAAGATGGATTCATAGAAGTATCAGGAAATCCTAGGAGAAAACATCATGCCATCTGTAAGAACCTTCCAAAAAGACTATAATCCCAAGCATACATCAAATTCAGCAAAGGATTGGTTGCAGAAGAAGTCCAGCAAAATTCTAAAGTGGCCATTACAGTCACCTTACAGTAGGAACCGGGATGGCCCTATGAGTGGTCGATCAGGACTTGTCGTGTTGTGTGTCAAGGAAAGTGATTTAAGGCAAACTTTTAAATAAAAGCAAAATAGTAGAACAAAAACATAAAAATAGTGGTTTCCCGCATCTTGATCTGGTTGCGTCAATATCGATCCTCCTGCCC